GGTCCGCCCGCATCGGGCCTTCAACCCACCTGGTCCACTCTCTGAGTCTACAGTGTGACTGGTCCGCCCGCATCGGGCCTACAGTCGGCCTGGTCCACTCTCCGAGCCTCGGCACGTCTGGTCCGCCCACGTGGGGCCTACAGCCTATCCGGACCGCTCACTGGGCCTTCGGAACAACCGGTCCGCCCTGGGTATCTTGGCCTACAGCACAAAGCAGGACCCGCCTCAACCCATCTCTAGTCCAAACAACCATGTGCACAAAACATACATTCATATAACAGTCATAATCAACAAACCGAGTAAACAGATCACATAGCATATCATTACTCTAACCGGGCTACCGACCTACCCGTTCACTAGCATAGCATTACTCTGCATATCGAGAACTGACCTTTACAAGGCCCCTAGCATGTATCATCCTAACTACCAGGATGCAGACACAACCAACAACAACATGATAAACGTAACTGAATCTCAATACAATAAAGGGCCGGCCTTGGTGCCTTAGACCCTGTTGATATAGTGAGGATAACTCACCTCGAAACTGACGGCTGAAAAGGTAAGATCCTGCTGCTCCGAACTCTGACACAACTCCTCCACTGAACACAAACAATAACCCAATAAATACCATAATTACCAAAATACCCCTGGAAGACAACTGGTCAACCCTGGACAAGTCAAAGTCAACCCCTGACTGACCCTACTCGTCGAGTCAACCGATGACTCGCCGAGTCCTTATGCTCAGACTTCCCTCAATTAGCGACCCAACTCGCCGAGTCACCCCAAGACTCGTCGAGTACAACAACTCTGAGTCCACTCGCACCCAACTCACCGAGTCGTCCCTCGACTCACCGATTCATCGACTCAACCAGAAATATTGGGACTTCCTCGACAAGACTCGCCGAGTCCAACCGGACTCGTCGAGTCCAAGGCCATCTTCAACCTACTCGCCGAGTTGTTCTTCCAACTCGTCGAGTTCAAGGCCATCTTCAAGCAACTCGTCGAGTCCACCCATGTGACTCGCCGAGTTCCACCGGTCTGAATCCATACAGAAGCATCTCAGGCCATGCAATTGATCCAAAACATAGATCCAGCCTCCTACAATCCATCCATCACGTAAAGTGGCAAACTTTACGTGAATCAAACGAGATCTAGGCCATTTTCACCTTAAAACCAAGGTTTGGGACATGATAGCTTCATCATAGCACAAAGGTTGGGACTTTAATGCACTCAATGACTTCTCCACTCCAGATCTGAGGTAGCAACCTCAGATCCATCCTCCAACACCAAAATGTCACACAACCAAGCATCCCACACAACCCCAAATGATGAAACTAGGAATGCACAGCTTAAGGACGAAGATATTACCTCCAAAGATGCCTCAATAACAGCTAAACACGAATCTAAGCAAAGCCCTTTGATCCAAACCACTTCTCCTTCAAGATTTCTCCAAGCAACACCTCTCCAAGCTCCAATTTGCTCCACCAATGCTCTTCTCCACGAGATTAGGGTTTCTGGAACTCAAGGGGGAAATAAGAGAGGCTGTGGAGGGGTATGATGTTCTTTATATAGGGCTCAACCCCGGAAACTAGGGTTTTCTCCATACAGCACCTACTCGCCGAGTCCATACTTGGGACTCGCCGAGTAGGCCACTCAGCACGCGACCATGACCGCGACCTGACTCGCCGAGTCTATCCATGGACTCGCTGAGTCATCCTCTAAAACTTACACTTTTAGCCCTTCAACTCTACCCTTGCGAATCCGGGATGTTACAGAATTATTGTAAAACAATTTGTATTAAGCTGTGAATTTTTTGCATTAAACCGTAAAATGACTGTGTAAATCTGTATTTTATATAAGTTTTGTGTTAAAATATGAGAACATATATGGATGAAATATTATACTGTAAAAATTATAAGTTTCTTCTTTTAATATCAAAAACACAAAAAATTAGAATTTTAACATGTTTAATAAGAGTATCATGTATATAGTTACTAATTAATTGAGGTTCTTAGGGTTCTTTATTTTTTATGGTTCTCATTTGAACCACTCGTTATATATATATTATATATATATTATATATATATATATATATATATATATATATATATATATATATATATGG